TTATTCAACGTCAAATACGAGAGGTTAATTCTGAAGAGTAACATGAACAAATGCAGATTAATATTTGACAAATGTCTTAGTATACGTTATTTTTATACTTATTATTGGACAGATATAAAAGGTATACAAAATTTGACTCGACTTTATTTGCTAAATATATATATATATATATCTCTCAAGTTAATGCAAACTTTTTAAAATCGATCTTTTTTTGTCATTCTGTCAGCTTCTCTTAATATATCTTTTATTTTTATTAAAAATTTGAACGAATACGATCACATAGTAAAATATTCTTCTATAGTTAACAATTAAAGGAGATTGAGAATTGAGAGTATCTGATATCGATCGAGTATCTTATCTTAATTTGTTTAAACACAAAATAAGGCATGAGTTCGCTTGGTAATTAATAAAGGATGTTCGTTTCTCCTTTATCTCCGAGTGTACAGGAAATTTTTATGCAAATACGATACTCGATAAGGAAAATATTTCGAGACTGAGAAAATATTTGAACTTTCCATTGTATTAATGTGACTTTAACGTAAATTTTTACTATATGTAAAAGTTACAACGACTCACTGCATCCTTTCCACAATAGACGTATTATCTTCAAGTCAATTATGAATATTACAGCGCTTATCAATACCGCTGCAAGAGTGGAACGCGGGATGTAATAAAAATATGGTGTCAAGAAACTCAATGCCAGTAACGTCATCATTCCTACAAAACATCCAATGTTATTATCCGCAACCATTTCTTAAAAAGAAATATATATTAAGGATACGCGCAAGAGAAAATACAGTAGAATATTATTTATCCAAATTCCGTTTATCGAAACGAAATCTTTCTTAGCGTCTGACTAGGAGCTTCTGGCGGTTGAATCTACTTGCGTGAACGTGTAATGTAATATTATACGCGTATACAGGACAGAAAGAATGTATTTCCTCGCGTGAAAACGAGATGAATAAGACGATGAATGAAAAACGAGATGAACGATAGAATAAGATTTGGAAGACTGAAAAGGAAACACCCAGATCTCACAAAGGACATAACCTAACATACAAACACTCACCACATGCTATATTACGATATCACTAAGCTATAATATTTTACCAAATGTCCTACTGGACAAATTGTAAAAAGTAAATAAATAAATAAATAAATAAAAAAAAAAGAAGAATAAGATTTTCCTCGTGTAGCCTTCTTTTCGACAAAATCAAGTTTGAAAGGTCAAGCATACTTGACCGTTGGCTAATTTCTCAGCGAATAAGAGCGAAGAATTGGTAGTGGCTTATTCTACATGTGAAAATAGCTCGAGATGGTGGAATAAGATTTTCTCGTTCGTAACTTCGTTTTCAAGAAAGTAGAATTTGAAACTTGTAATGATCCTCGACGAAAAGACTAATTTTTGAACTTTTTAGGTAATTCTACAATATAATAGCAGTGGGAAACTGGATTCGCATAGTCAGAAAAATCGATATTACGAATGATTTATGTCTTGACCCTTGCAAGTTAGGACAGTTAATTGGCCGCGTAAAAGTTTTATCACGTTTACAAGAGTCACGTAATACAGTAAATATTTCGCTTAAAACATTTGAAACGTATTGTACTTTGGATCTTCCGGAGAAGAAGAAACAGAGATCTGTCTGTTTTGTTTTCGGCTGTGAAATTTGTTGAATACGCGTGTCTCCAGGTTCGCTCTTGACTAAACGCGTTCAAATTCTATTTTCTCGAAAGAAGCGATAGTGGACAGAGTTTCGGTGAACTTTTATTATAGCTCCAATTCTATGAATTATTCGTTCTTCGACGAACACTGATAAATAGAGTTCTAGCATATTTTCTCTTCCAGCAATTTTCCATGTTGCTTCGTCTCGAAATGAGAATATTACCGACGTATATACCGGCCATAGGCGTCCGTACACCGCTGGCGGAAACTACGGCGCTTCTGGTGAACGCTCCGGCAGTTGGCATCGACGAAACGAAACTCCCGAATATATTGCACAAACCGAGCGTTAACATCTCTTGCGTCGCATTTACGCTGCTACCACTTGCTAAAAATACAAACATCGTGTCGCCATCAATTACGTTCGTGTAACCTCGTGTAATTCATTGATACGTGTAAACTATGAAATCTGTGGATCTGCGTACAAAACACGTGAACATTTCGAAATTTCTCTTACGAAGCGGTCTCTTTTACGTATTTCATGCTGGATGCATCGTTCCCAAATAATCTTCGAGTTCTTCGAGGTCGTTGACGATACGAGGCGAAGTTCTTAAATTGTAGTTTTTGCGAATTTATGCGAACAACCTCGTCCAAAAATTTAATGCGAATTTGGAGGAGCCCCAGTCGTTTTCTCGTCGAAAATATTATTTCGCGTTACCGTATTACTCTATTTCTCGCTTTGTACTATACAATCAAAAATATCAAAAATATCTTCCCTTTTTTGCGACACTTTCGAAACAAATATCCTGTCATACTTTATACGGATCGTCGTGTTACGAGTGAATTTAAATGAACAGAATTTCTCTATATTGTAACTTTTGATATTAAACGGATATTAAAATATACGTCAGCTTATCTGCAGTAGAAATCACTATATACATTCGCGATCTACGACGATAGATACAAATCTGAAATCACTGAAAAGACGAATGGGATTTTCAGCGATGTGTGTATGTACTAGGTTTAAGGTTAAGCCGCGCGATAACGCAGGTTTCTACACGTGGCAGATTTTTAAGCTTCCTTTTGTACTAGAACATCGAATAGTTTGCTCTAATAAATCATAAAAATTGGAGAATACATTTTTATACTATTCAAGGTCCTATAAAAAGCAATTCTAAGATCTTACGTTAAATGGTCATGTAAATCATGTTTATTGTTTCAGCCTGTACACTCGACTACCTGAAACATCGACACGCATCTCACAACGCGTCTTTACAAACATTTCAAACGAAGTATGAACAGCATATTAGTCGTCCATAAATCAAATAATCACCCGCCACGTTACACGTATTCGATGAAACAAAACAAAAAAAAAAAAGAAAAAAAAACTTCGTTCGTTCGATAAAAATTCGAAAATATATTCGCAACGACGTTTTTTGAATACAGATCCGCAAGATCTCGACGATTTATAGTGTTTACCGAATGCTTTAGCAATGGCTACGTTTGCCAACACCGAGACAAGAGGCAGTATGATTATGCCTGACCCTAAATGGGAGCACATGTCTAGAAACGTGTAGGTCTCGTTTCCAACCTGAGACGAGAACGGAGGTACAGAGAGCGTGGGAAGTCCTGACTGTATCTTTCCTTTAAATTAAAAATAAAAGTCAGAAGGGAATAACGAATATTTCTCGTAGAAATTTTCTTACGCGTTAAACGCGCTGTAATGATTATAACGAAGCGAAACGCCTGTGATGGCGTTTACTTCGTATGGAGGATTAAAAAAGAAAGAAAATAAGAGAGAAGGAAACGCGAACCTGAAAGAATGAACGGCGAGGATCCTGTCTTCTCGAAATAAAAAGCTATCGTCGAAGCAATCAGGATGACCAAAGCGTTGCGACAGATGGAAAGAAACCACAAGAACTTCTTCAGCCACGTCTTTTTACGTTTCTCCTTTGATCGATCATTGTCTTTCCCGAAACAGCAGTCCATGTCTTTCAGTTGCTAGATGATAGAAACACGAGATAGACGGTTAAATCGAAAGGCAATTTATTCCCATATTTATTTCCGTAATGCGGTATCTTGAAGGGACTTACTCTGAAAAACAGAAGGAACGCTATACTGCAAATTCCAAGGAGAAAATCTGGCATTCGTACGTTTTGCACGTTTTGAAATATCTTGCTCAGATTGTCGACAATACTGTGCGCTTTGAACTTCAATCCTAATAGCCCTTGCAATTGCGATACGATTATAATAATTGAAGTAGCCGAAGTGAAGCCTGACGTGACTGGCATCGATATAAAATCTACCAGAAAGCCTGTATAAAGAATTTCATCGTTTAAAAAAATATTATTACGAATGAGAGCGAACGATGGTACGAACATAAAATAACGCATCATTGGGATACGTTCAGACGCAAAAACAAAGTGGAACGTTAATTTACTGTTTGTAATATTTTTAGATATTATTTTAGAGTAAACGTTCATTTTATTTATCGTGCTATTGTATCGTTAACGTTCATTTTATTTATCGTGTTATTGTATCGTTAACGTTCTCGTTCAAATGCCATACCTAACCTTGTATTTTTGCTGATTTTTATGCATTTACTAGAGATTTAAAGAATGCAAAAATATATAAAATATACGATCTACGGTACTTGTTGTAATATTTAACAACCGATACGAATATTCGATTGGCCTCTGTTTCTTTAATTGTACTACCAAGAGCATGAACGAGCATAAGTATCCGCGGAATATCGATATTCCTGTGTATACATAGAATAGAAACCGAAGGATAGAAGTTAGAGTTCGAACGAATTGCTACGAACACTAGCCTCCTCTGTTGAATCAGAACAATAATCGCTGTCAGGAGCGTGACTCGATTTACGAGAGAAGAGGTTAAGAGAAAAAGCGATTTGTACGCGTACTATACGTAATACGTGCATGGTATTTTGTCGAAAACACGCGAGGGAAGCTTGAAAAGAATATCAACGCGCAACAAGTGCGTATTTATAGTAGCAATTAGTTAAAATCGTTGTATCAACAATTAGTCAAGATATGGAAAAAAGAGTATGTCTGTTTGCACTGCGAGTATTCTCATTTTCGGCTTAGTTACTTCTACATTCCGGAGATTTGCTAATTTCACGTATCAAGAAATGTGTCTTCCATAGATAATTCCTCGTGATTTATCTTTCTTAGACAATTGTTTACTTAGTCTTAGAATCGATTTAAGCGAGTCTTAATCTTGGATTTCCTATTAACTGCTTGAAAATATTATCTTCAAACTACGAAAGAACCGATTTATATCATAGTTTATTATTTTATTATTGCTTTTCGCATCGTATTAAGCCGATATATAATAATAAAACTAATTATAGTACAGAGTTTAAGACGTAGCGATTCAGAAAACTTGAGAAATAGAAGCAATTAAAGATATTTGTTGATATCACCTGCTGTCGACAGTTCGATATTCTCAACAATGGAAAATTTACGAACGTAAATCGGCTGCTCAGTTTTATCGGCTCGGTAAAAATTTGGCAGCTCCAAATTTTGCTGACAGCGATGAAAGCAACGATAAATAGACAACTCTGATAATTTGAACACCGAGATACTAGGAATTTTTTGGACGTAAAACTAGTTAGTTTCGGTCCTATCCGTTTCCTCTGCCGATTTACACTTCTTTTTATGTCATAGAATAATTTGTCGAGATCTGGAACTGATTTGTCTTTGCATCGAGCCCTTCAACTGCCATCGTACGTAATACTCGATGAAGCCGAAAGTATTTTACGAGAATGCAGGAGGCAATTCGTTGGGCGAATATTTTACAATTATCTTTGTATTGTCTTTGTATTCTATCGATCGAGAAAAGTACAAACGAGAGATTTTACCAACGATGCCGTATATTTTATGAATGAAACGCTTGTTTCAGCTACGCGTATGCGTATGTACACGTACAGATTTTCATTTATCTGTCTCGGATCAACGAGTATTCTATGGTTTTTAACCTCTTTCGCGCAGTGTTTCAGAGATCCATCGTTCCACTCTTTTCGCATCTGAGAGCATTCCTTTGTATTGTCGAAGCAATTACTCTCTTGGAGTGATTGAACGTTTCTGAAAATTATTTTGTCGATACGAGCCTAAACGTAGCAGGCCCATCAGCAATTCTACGCATCCAGCAAGAAAACAAAAGAGCACGATAAAATCCACTGGCATGTTTCTTGTATATTCGAAGGTAAGTAGCGACATCAAGGACGAAGGACCAATCGATACTTCTTTGATCGTTCCCAAAAAGATGTAGACAAAGTTGCCCATTAGACACGAATAAAGACCATACTGCAAAGAATCGGACGCTTTATAATTTGTACGTTTATGTGATCGAACGCGGCAAGTATGAAGAGTAAACAGTAATGAATTAACATCGGGCGTAATCGTTGTGTTTCTGTCTGTCCAGAATAATCTTGCAGATGATTTTAGAAAATATGGCTCTTGCGTAAATTCACGTGCGAGGTATGTAACATTTTCTGCTAGGGTTCTAGTTTTCGTTGAAAATTATCCGTTTCACGTTACCTCGAAAACGGAATTTATGATTCTATGATATTCTTGACTGTCTCCACGAGCGAACTCTTCAAATTTTTACCGTTTCGTATATTACAGATTCCCATCGGAATTGTAATGACACGTAACCGAGAAAAAGGTAACAAAAGCGAGAAATCAAAGTCGAACGATTCGAGCGAGTGAAAACTGAGTATCGACGATATGAAAACCTTATAGATCGGCGATAACTATCTTTTGCTTCTAAGAATCTGAAGATTGGAATCACGACAGCCATAGAAAAGTAATCCGCAACTTCTTCGATTCCGGCTGTTTATAATAATAAGTTGCACATTTTCTCCTATTATTTAGCCCATAATTCATTACCATTGTTCTTTCGAAAGGTGCGAGAGAAATGTTCGAATACCTCGGTATTGATGGGCGAATCATCGTCGATGGGACGAACAAGATAAGATGTAAATAATAGTAAACAACAATATATTCAAGCAATGGCGCGATATGATAACTAGATAGGGGTGAGAACGAAGAAAATTTCTCGATCGACCAAGTAAGGAGTAAAGAGTAAAAATATACCTGAGCAGTTAAACCTGCGAGTGCAGCGTATGCTATACTTTGAGGGATCAAGGTTAATCCTAGAGAAAATCCAGCTACGAGATCCGAAACGGCATCCAAACGAGAGTATTTTGGCAACCAATGTATTATCGTTATGTACTTGACTATCGAGCGGCTCGATTTGCTATTGTCCTTCTTAGACGTCGAAAGTTCCTCCAACGGGATAGAATCTTTCGTGGTAGCAGGCATTTCTTTGCGCGAAGAATCAGAATTCTCGAAAATATTCGCCGATGATACCGATGCTTATTAACACTGCCAGTTAAATTATTCGGGTTTGTACGTTCGATCACTTCACAGCAACATTAGAATTGTATTGGAAGGGAAAAGGCAAAGCAGTTGACTCGAAGAAGCCGTGTTACGCACTGATCGTGCACCTCGCGGCATTTATGTTCATACATTGCGAGCGTAAACGCGGTTCTACCTCCCTATCAGCATATTTTCATCGCTTCTAAATTGTTATCATTTGATGCGTCTCCCGTTAAATCTTAAGGCAAACATCTGGCGCCAACGAAATTCCCATCTTCGCGCGATTCTATAATTGTTAAGTAACACTCTGCTCACGTGCGTTACTTGTTGATATATTGATAAAAATCACCAATTAAGGACAAAAGCGTTGGGTCATGACCAATTTTATATGGCGGAGAGACTCGCGTACTCTATACTCCACGGCTCTGTGTTTAACGACGGTGTTTACGTCCGAGCGAATTAGGTAGAACGTGTTAATTCGCCTACGCGTTCCACGCAAATTTGCTGGAGATCAACAAGGAAAATTGGAAGAATCGGGAAAAAAAGTGATTCGGTGCCAACGTTTTAATGCGTTGTTAGTTCACGGTTTCGTAGTGCGAATTAGGATATTCCTGGCGTTCTCTGGTTAAGACGCGAGTAACTTGGATCAGTGGCTTACGCTACTACTACTACTATTACTACTCGCCACATAATCATGTGTATATGTATGTTTACGTTTAGAAAGGTATAATGTATTTCAATGAAAATTAATGCTTGAAATGAAAGTGCTTTTACATGCACCTTTTTTATCATTCGAATGCGTATGTGTACGTAGGTTTAGTGTATTAAAGAGTATCATCGAGTTAACGTTGCGTTTCATTTGCAATTTTATTTTGCTTTTTTCTTATTTTTTTTTTTTTTTTGTTTGATCAGTTTATACGATTGTTTTTAATATCGTAATTACGAAAGGAAGGTTCAAGGATGTGGTCGATATTTATCTTGCCACTGTCTCTTGCTTTACTGCGATCTATGAATTTGATGAAGTTTGAAAGGATTTAAAGTATTCAAAGTGACATGCTGTTTCTTTTTATTCATTACGGAGACCCTTACTGGCTCTCTGATTTATGCATTGAGCTTTGGTAAAGTGTCCATTAATATCGTAATATTTTATGCTTTGATAGAATATCTTAGCTACTTTATTTACGTTGTTCGATAATTTTGCATTTGCGTAACTTTCGTTTCGCTGCTTGATCCGTGTCCAATGCAGTTTAACGTCAATTACGTCGGTTTTAGTTACAGATGTAAGTTAAGTAGGACAATAAGGTCGTTTCAACGAGAAAAATTTCATTTTGCGCGAAGAAAGTAGGTGAAAGTAATGGGGAGCTATAATTTTCGATAATGGTAATATAATTATAATAATAGTAATAATAATATTATTAAATGACAACAATTACTAATAATAATTATAATAATATGCTATATTCAGATAATTTCAGTAAGATCTCTATGTAAAAATTCAATTATAACACAATTAATCTGTTTACCGATAGCATCGTATTTTGGAATTTAACAATATTTCTTATTAATGCGAGTCGAATTGCGAGTCACGTTAACGCAACTTCTTATTAACCTGATCGATTTGTTCGTCGATCCTCTCCGACGTTCCGCGAAACTTGTTTGGTTCCGGCCCAATCATTTGTATAAGTTGCGGTACATCTTGGCCGCTGATCTGCGTGAAACGTGCCAATGACTTCATGCACGCGTACAACTGTTCCTCAGCAGGGCTGCCATTGAAATATTGTAACAGTGCCATTGTCAATTCTACAGCGACGTCATCGAACACCTATACATTTCATAAAAAGAAAGACGATTAAAATGAAATCACATCGATGTTTAATTACACATCGAAGACTGCAAAACGACAGATAGAAAATGCTGAACAATAAAAAAAAAGCTGCACTTCCTCGCTCTTCGAAAAGGATAGATACAAATAAATTAATATCCGAACTGACGCTGCTTTCTTTGGTTATTCGATGTATGTATAATGCAAAATTAAATCGACGATGACGACGACGACGATGGCGATGAATGTACGGTTATTTAAATCATATTATTGCTACTGATAAAATGTGCATTCGCAGTTCATGGATATGAAATCGTAAATTTGTGATGGACGACTTACCGTAACGTGCGGTTAAATTATACATACATGTTCGGACAAGTACCTTAGAAATGCTGCCTTTTGGTAAAAGTCGCCGCAGATTTTTGCTTTTGTTCATTTTCTGAAAACACAGTATCCGGTCTCTCGATAGGTATCCATTAATTCCAACTGCATCGCAACATTGTATACATGTATACAAATACAAACGAGCAACGAGAAAACGTATTTATATATTACTTGAATCATAGCTATTTATAATAGGGAATCGTTTTTGGGATGATATCGTTGCTCGTCCGTGAATCAGTTACCAAATTTGATACATGGTTAAAGTACCTCTCACGGTTTAATACCTTTATAAGTACAGCTAATTTATTAATAAAGGCAGCACTTCTATTCGCGAGAAAGAAAGCGTCACTTTGTTTGTTGGATTAGTTAAAAAGTGATAGTAAAAGCGTTCGTTATGCGACACTGCAAACTACACGTTATTTTATCATAGAATTGCGCGCTGAAGAATTAGATTTTCTTTCTCTCTGTTTTTCTTTTCACGCTGAATATTAGATGTGTAATTAAAACGAAACGGGAAATTGTTAATTGGATAGGAAGGATACAGACCACAGTTTTTACCTCCTTGCAGGCAAGATTGTGAATAATAGCGGCACCACGAATTTGCAAGTCAACCGAATTGGAAAGCAACGAATGCACTGCAACTTTCGTCGTTACCCTTATGTTACTGATATTTTGAGTTTGATGTTGCCATTCCGATATATACAACAACCATTCTGAACTACTAAGGTTTTCGAACATGTTTGCCAACTATAATGTATAATTGAAAATTAAAAATTCGTTAAATTTATCGATGCACACAGACGATTCTAATTTGCTTACAAATTGTGCAAGAGGAAGTTGTTCTTCAGCAGGATGACGATCGATATCGAAAGCGTAATTCATAATTATATGTTCCCTTCTGTCCTGATGCAATAGTAAGATTACGTCGTCCTTTAACGCAGCAACCGAGAGTATGTTCAATAATTTCACCCTTGCGTCACTTGCCAGAGCTTTATCATACAGTATTCGTCCTAAATACACAAATTGTCTTTGATACATACTCTTACAACGAAGAATATCGTTTTTCGTCGTCTTACCTACGAAATTTAAAAAATTGTCTCCGAGTGCCCAAGAACCCTCGTTCTCCAAGACGTATTGTCGAAGCTCATCCATGCACACGCGATCCTCTTCGTTCAATTTCCCGTCCAGCAACTTCACTAACGTCTGGTATTCTTCTTTGATGTCCACCGAGTCCTTAAACACGATGGGAGGATCTCGATGACGTTTCCTTTCTTCCAGTTCCTTTTTCTCTTCTTCCTCCATCTGCATCACTCGCTCCGATGGTAGCACCTCCGTGCTCTCGCCGTTCGAAGCTTGCATTTCGCTCAAACTTATAGCACCTAAATTCGTATGAAAACAGTATACCGATAAAGAGAAAAAGTAAACAAAATATACAAGACAGTTAAGAGATACGTGTATCTTATTTTACGAAATCGATGTACTTTCACTTTCCGCCATGTGTGTACAATTACTGGGTCCGGTACTATTGCTATCGCTCGCACCGCTATCCTTGCTTCCTTTTTGCTTCTTCTCCTTCTTCTTCTTTTTTTTCTTTCTATCTTTCTTCGCGAGTTTCTCGTTGATCTCGTTTCTCCTTTCTTCTAGCGCGATTGAATTTAATCTGCCATAATAGTTACATCGTGCTTAAAGACGGCCACAAAAAGAAAAGAAAAGAAAGGAAAACTAATAAACGAGACGCGAAAAGCGTTTTACCTTGCTTCTTCGATAGCCTCATTTAAAAGTTGAAATTCCGGCGAAACCTCTCTATGATTTCTTGGTTCAAGGAATGTTGGATCAACTATAAATGCTCTACTCGCGCTACTGCACAAACCTTCTATGAGTCCTCCAATCTGTTGTCCAATCGGTCTAAAACAATTTCAATTTTAATAAGAAACGAACATTAAGAGAAAAAGAAAGGAAAGTATCAAATTTAACTGATAATCATTCGTACGTTTGTAGTATTTCCTCCGGCAGATCTAGGATGTACTTGGGAATATCTTGACCCACTAGAAAATTACTGACTTCGTTTGTGAAGCTGTTGCAGTTATGTTTGAAGAGGTTGTAAGTACCCGGGCTGCAATTTAACGACAAATAACAATCACAGTAAATATAAATGTAAATACAAAATCATAAGTAGCAGCTCGCAAAACTGTGCAATCATAAGATTTTCTTTTAAACTCAAAGGTAAAAAACATTCTAATCTTAATTAACGATATAATGATATAAAATGAACGCTATTTGTTATTTGTATTTATACCGTAGTTATGCTGCATTTGTAGTTATACTGTATTTAATTATTTGCAAGATTGTAAAATTAATCAGACAACGTAATAAATAATGAATTAATTCGTCTTATTTCTAATTCTTATTGATGAGATTTATTTAAATTTTCGGACGCTTAGATTCTAGTTTATTCGATGATAACTCACGCGAACGTAGACACTCCCAAGCCGTTTATGTATTCGAAGAAG